ATGTGTCCGTATTTCCCAGAACGTAAATTTCTGTTTTTCTGTCCCTGGTTTGATGATTGAAGCTAGGAATGGATGAGGAATTAGTGATCCCAAAACAGTGTTCCTGTTAGAGAAAATTACAAAAACCACAACCCCAGGAGAAGATATTTTGGAACTTTTCAGTGTTAACTTTGAAATCTTGAATTAGTTTTTATAAGTGAATACACAGTTCACATGTAGTTACTGGTTTGTGGGTACTCAGCATCTGCTTGCTCTCTGGAGCGCTTGTAGTCCTCAGATTTATGTTCTGAAACAGTACAACAGACACATAGGTGCTTCCTAGCCCAATCCCAGAAGGGACCTGTCTGTTGCCTCTTTCAACTTAATACAGGTTTTTAAGTAAATAAAATTCAGATTAGAGAACTTTTGAGGCTATAATGTTCCCATTGACTAAGTTCCATCTTTATTATGCTGTTTACTTTAACTTCATACTGATTAACTCTTGAATTCAAAACGTAGCCCTTAATGTCTAGGACATATTAGTGAGCTGGACAATGTTCAGAATTTTGGGTCCATCTCTTTCTTAACAAGTTTCAGTCTGGATTTTTCATTTCACTATTTACTTGAGGAAAAAACCAACTATAGATTCATTCCACTTTTGACTGTTGCTGTATTTTAAAGTTTCAAATAGGAAATTTTTAAGAATGAAATTGAAAATACAATTATTTGTCATCTTGTTTCTAAAAATAGAATTGCGTTAGTTCTAAGAAGGATATAAACAGCTTAGTTTTGTGTTTTTTTTTTCGTAACACTTTAAAGAATGGAAGACTTCCCTAGTGGTCCAGTGGCTAAGACTTCACTCCCAGTGCAGGGGGCCCAGGTTCAAAGCCTGGTCAGGGAACTAGATCCCACACGGCACAGCTGAGAGTCCTCACGCCTCAGCTAAGGATCCCACTGACGCAGTGAAGACCCAAAGCACCCAAATAAATAAAAATAAATATTAAGAAAAATAACACTGGACTTTGGGCCAAAATAGGAAAGTTTATTATAGAACTTGGTTGTTTATTTTCATGCAAAATATATATTTCCATGCCAGTGTAAAAAAAATTAAAGTTGTGGGGAATAGTCTTGTCTGTGGTGGCATAAAATGAATGTAGGCCCCCCAAAAAGAAAAAAAAAATCTAATCTAAATAGGTATGAAAATCTTTCTTATGGATTGAGTTACGTCCCTGCCATTGGAGGGAGAAGTATGGCTTTTCTTTTCTACAAGGAGGATGCGATTTTGCTATTCTGAGCTTGATAGGATTCTGTAGACCTGTGTGCTTAGAGCGTCTAACTCTTGTTGGGAATAACTGCTCAGCAGTAACTGTGCTGAAACAGACAGTATTTTGTCAGATGCTTTCTAAACTTTGAGTGACTCTTGTTAGCGATACTCCTCATAATATGTTAATTAGCCTCAGTTTCTTGGGGACTATTTACCACTTAATGATTCTTAGTGGTTAGCCAGGAAGCCATGATTTTTTAAAAAGAGATTATTCAGTGAGGCATTATTGAGGTTTTCCTGTGACCATTATGAGTGCCTAGTAACTTAAGACGTTTTTTCAACCAAAATTATGTCAGCTACATTCTGGGGCGTTCCAGGACAGGTCAGTCAAAGCCTCTCTGAAATAAAGGAGGTTGTCACTGGGTCGTTGGGTTGCTCTCGCAGTGTCAGGGCTGGCTGGACGTTGGGCAACAACAGAGGGAAGTGGGCCCGCCAGAGCCGAACCACCCCCATCGCCAGCCCCGTCGGGTCCTGCTGCTGCTGGTACTGCTGACCCTGGTTCCACCAATAGAGCCCCTGCCCTGATTGGCACTGGGCACCTGCCCTGGCCCCCTGGCCCAGGGCCCCTTTGTGCCCGCCACTGTGCTGTTGGAAGATGCTCTTTTAGCCCTGCTCCTGTGTCCCCAGTCCCAGATCTAAGTGTCCAGACTGTGTGTGCACAGGGGTCATGCCCTATCTCATTCCTGTGCCCTGTTAATGGAGCCAAGAATTCTCCAAACACAGCAACACGGTGCAGACCCTGGGCAGACAATATCAGTCATCCTTTCCAGGTAGGACTAGTCAAGCAATTGTTAGGACTGAATTGGACCTAGGACGGCTTCTTAGAGAAAGTTGAGGTTGTCGCCGTTGCCCATTTCGAGTGGCAGTTCAGAGCTGAGGTACTCTACATACTAGAAAGAACATTTAAACCCTTGGGTTTGTTGTGGTTTTGTGTTCGATTTTCTTTAATTTGCTCCTCCTGATAATGAACTGGCCCCAGAAAAGGTTCTGTTGGTCTGGTAGATTCTGCCGTGAAACGGTGAATACAAATGTTCCCTGGTGTGGTTTTTTGAAATGGAAACAGGCATTTTCTATATTTTAGTGGCATATGGTGCTAAGATTTTATCATGCTTTCTTACAAAGAGTCAGGAAACTTTCTCTGCTTTAAATTGTATGTTTGTAAACAATAGGCTTGCGCTGAATATTCCCATCTGTTGGGTGAATATAATTTGTGTAGGAATTCCTGTATTAGGTGGAATACTTTGCAACTTTTTTGTATATTTCTTTCCCTGGTGAGACATTAGACTAAGAGACAGTACAAAGCAGCATATGCCTAATATTCAGTTTTTGTCTGCTTCTCCCTGTATGAAAGCAGTGCTGTTTTTGTGTATTAGTACATAGGATTACTATAGAAATTCATAAGAACATAAAAGCTATTCAGGGTATTGCAAAAAAAATATTAATAACAATCATATAAATGTGGTTAAGTTGCAATGATGAAACTGTTCTTGTAGTTTTTCAAATATGTACTCCAGTAACTTCTGTTATTTCTTTTCCAAAAACTTTTCTTGATTTTGTTTTAACCTAATCTCAAAACTCTTCCTTATTATAATCACAGTATATAATAATCAAAGCTGCTCATCCTTCTAGTCTTGATTTGTAATTTAAATAAATGGCATTGACTCTTTGTGTTCAGTTTGGTATTGTTCTGATTGTCTTCACTAATTAATTTTCTGTTTGAGAAGAACCATTCTTCAGTATAGAATAAATTTTTTTTTTTAGAATAAAATCTTGAAGACTAAGGCTCAGCAGTATTTTTTCATAAAATATTTTATTAATCTTGCCATAAGATCTCATGATGGTTATCAGGGGGCAAACACACTTTGATTAATATTTGCTTAATACTGAATTACCTGTATTGTCCAAATGTTTTATTCACTTAAAAATTATGCCTGTCATTTCCTTTTTCTGGTTGACTAATTGGACATACTTGAGTAAAAAGATGAGCAATTAGTTGAATATCAGTGCTTTCGAGGTGTGTGTAGGAACTGAGTAAATAAAGCGTATGTTACTTGGTGCCTTTTACCTGATGATTATTTTTTTTTACATTTCTCTGATTATACTTTGTAAGAGGAAGTATTTTTAAGTTGACGATACCTATTACTAGGTAACTAGGTATCTATTCAGAGAAGGCGATGGCACCCCACTCCAGTACTCTTGTCTGGGAAATCCCATGGACGGAGGAGCCTGGTAGGCTACAGTCCATGGGGTCGCTAAGAGTTGGACACGACTGAGCGCCTTCACTTTCACTTTCACACACTGGAGAAGGAAATGGCAACCCACTCCAGTGTTCTTGCCTGGAGAATCCCAGGGACGGGGAGCCTGGTGGGCTGCCGTCTATGGGGTCGCACAGAGTCGGACACGACTGACGTGACTCAGCAGCAGGTATCTATTAGTCGAGCATCTTGTTAGAGAAGGATAGCATCATGGTGTCTTCTCTTTTTGGGAAAGTAGGCAACTATTTGATTGGGTTCAAGCTCTCTTTTTCCTTCTTAGGATAGCACCCTCCCATGTGTGAAAAGTATCCAGAACTCAAGTCTTGCTTCTTGGTGAACAGAGCTTAGAAACCAATTAAAGGTGCTCTCCTAGGTAGCATGAAAGCTTTGAGCTCTGCAGCTGCAGAACTCACGTCAAGTGGTCCCCTCTTGTGTCTCCTGCTTGTTGATGGACTTAAAAACATCTTGATTACAGGGAGCTCAAAGTCAGTGCCCAGAGACAAGCTAGAAGGGTGGGGTGGGATGGGATGGGAGGGGTGGAAGGAGGGAGGCTCAAAAGGGAGGGGCATGTGTGTACCTGTGGCTGGTTCATGCTGATGTACGGCAGAAACCACATGATATTGTAAACAATCATCCTTCAATTAAAGTTAAAAGCAAAAAAAAAAATCCCTGAATTATAAAAACCAGGGCTTTTATGGAAACCATATCTTCTAATTACTTTCCCGCCCTATAATATTTACTGACCTTTTTAGAAAGGCATTGATTTGAGGAATGGTTGTTCATAATCATAGGAATGGAAAATACAAATAAAATAACCTTTTAGTCAATCAGGAAAGACTTTAAAGTTAATATCAGGCCATATGTGTAGAAGAAAGGCAGGTATGTGAAGTGAATGTTGCTGGAAGGCGTCTGCTCTTTGCGGGGAGCAGAGCTGTCCCCTGGCGTTCCTCTCACTTTGCCTGAATAACACCTGTGTCTCATCCCGAGTTGTCTGAACTGTGATGCAGGAGCACATAACACGCTAAGACTGTTGCAGTTCTAGAAAGAATTTTTAGAAATTCTGAGAAAGGGAATTTAAAAAAAAAATCAAAAGGCCTAGTTTATGTGGAATGCTTTTCAGCTACTTAGCAGTTCTCTTTCATTCAGCCCATTTCGGGTGGTGTGTCTACATGATGGCCCGGGGTACAATGGTGAACAAGACGGGTCCAGAACCTCACTGCAGGGGGTAGTCACAGCCTAGCTGAAGAGACACACAGCCATTATGTAACCTCACAGATAAACTGCAGGTGCAGTAAGTGTGTTGGTCAGGAAAGGGGTGCATAGATACTAGTTTACCAAAAATAAAATATTTTTGCTGCTAGATACCAAAATATACTAGACTGGATGCCAAGGCTGGCTGTGTAGTTATACGACCATTAACACTGCTTTTTGCTGTTTGGCAGGTACGTTATTCCATCTTTGCAAAGACTGGATGCCGGGTTTTACCGCTGCGTTGTTCGAAACAGAATGGGAGCACTCTTGCAAAGAAGATCAGAAGTTCAAGTTGCATGTATGTGCACATTGAAAACATCTACAAACGTTAAATAAAACAGTGTCTGTGGGCATGCTAATCAAAATCACCTTTGACCATGGTGGGAATTGAGTTTTCACTTTCACTTTCACACACTGGAGAAGGAAATGGCAACCCACTCCAGTGTTCTTGCCTGGAGAATCCCAGGGACGGGGAGCCTGGTGGGCTGCCGTCTATGGGGTCGCACAGAGTCGGACACGACTGACGTGACTCAGCAGCAGGTATCTATTAGTCGAGCATCTTGTTAGAGAAGGATAGCATCATGGTGTCTTCTCTTTTTGGGAAAGTAGGCAACTATTTGATTGGGTTCAAGCTCTCTTTTTCCTTCTTAGGATAGCACCCTCCCATGTGTGAAAAGTATCCAGAACTCAAGTCTTGCTTCTTGGTGAACAGAGCTTAGAAACCAATTAAAGGTGCTCTCCTAGGTAGCATGAAAGCTTTGAGCTCTGCAGCTGCAGAACTCACGTCAAGTGGTCCCCTCTTGTGTCTCCTGCTTGTTGATGGACTTAAAAACATCTTGATTACAGGGAGCTCAAAGTCAGTGCCCAGAGACAAGCTAGAAGGGTGGGGTGGGATGGGATGGGAGGGGTGGAAGGAGGGAGGCTCAAAAGGGAGGGGCATGTGTGTACCTGTGGCTGGTTCATGCTGATGTACGGCAGAAACCACATGATATTGTAAACAATCATCCTTCAATTAAAGTTAAAAGCAAAAAAAAAAATCCCTGAATTATAAAAACCAGGGCTTTTATGGAAACCATATCTTCTAATTACTTTCCCGCCCTATAATATTTACTGACCTTTTTAGAAAGGCATTGATTTGAGGAATGGTTGTTCATAATCATAGGAATGGAAAATACAAATAAAATAACCTTTTAGTCAATCAGGAAAGACTTTAAAGTTAATATCAGGCCATATGTGTAGAAGAAAGGCAGGTATGTGAAGTGAATGTTGCTGGAAGGCGTCTGCTCTTTGCGGGGAGCAGAGCTGTCCCCTGGCGTTCCTCTCACTTTGCCTGAATAACACCTGTGTCTCATCCCGCGTTGTCTGAACTGTGATGCAGGAGCACATAACACGCTAAGACTGTTGCAGTTCTAGAAAGAATTTTTAGAAATTCTGAGAAAGGGAATTTAAAAAAAAAATCAAAAGGCCTAGTTTATGTGGAATGCTTTTCAGCTACTTAGCAGTTCTCTTTCATTCAGCCCATTTCGGGTGGTGTGTCTACATGATGGCCCGGGGTACAATGGTGAACAAGACGGGTCCAGAACCTCACTGCAGGGGGTAGTCACAGCCTAGCTGAAGAGACACACAGCCATTATGTAACCTCACAGATAAACTGCAGGTGCAGTAAGTGTGTTGGTCAGGAAAGGGGTGCATAGATACTAGTTTACCAAAAATAAAATATTTTTGCTGCTAGATACCAAAATATACTAGACTGGATGCCAAGGCTGGCTGTGTAGTTATACGACCATTAACACTGCTTTTTGCTGTTTGGCAGGTACGTTATTCCATCTTTGCAAAGACTGGATGCCGGGTTTTACCGCTGCGTTGTTCGAAACAGAATGGGAGCACTCTTGCAAAGAAGATCAGAAGTTCAAGTTGCATGTATGTGCACATTGAAAACATCTACAAACGTTAAATAAAACAGTGTCTGTGGGCATGCTAATCAAAATCACCTTTGACCATGGTGGGAATTGAGTTTCTATCTCAGGTTCTATTTGGAAGAGGATAATTGCTAAAATTGGTTGAGAGATAAGTAAATATCGAATGCAGCTGGTCCGACGATGATGGTGGGGCTGGTGAGGCGAATGCCACTTCTTTTAATTCAGGAGATAAGGCACCGTGGAGGATAGGAAAAATGAGCAAGATGCCTTGTGTTTTATGAATTAGCTGCTCTCAGCTTTTGTTATATTCAGATTCAAATGTTTTTAAAATAAAAAAGTTAAACTCAGATAAAATTTTGTCTGTTCATAACCAGTTCTCTCCAGTGATGATTTGTTTAGAAATCCTTCAGCTGCCCGAGTACATGGATAGCGCGTCTCAATTCTGGACTCTTAATAATTCTCTGCTGGGCAGACCATTTTGGAGAATGAAACTTTTAAAAGTAACCAGAGGGGATATCAGAACACAGGGGACTAGAATTTTGGTGTAGTGTTTAGCTGAATGGTGGAGAGGGGAGTTGGCCAATTCAAAGTATTTAATACTTCAGTATTAATATTTAGTATTAATACTTTAGTCCAAAATCTGTGACGGGTAGGGTCCATATAAAGTGGCCTGTAGGCTTTATTATACTCTGAATTTATGACCAAAATGTCTCTTCATTTAAAAGAAAGCAAAGAGTGTTGACATTTTAAATTGCATATTAATGCATCATAGTAGATTTTAGAGAACTCTAAAGAGCTTCTAAATTGGGTCATGTCAACCAATGATGATGGTATTTTCTCACTTGTCATTTTGACCCCAGTTAAGGCTTGCAGTTTTCAGTGTTACTGTATAAAACAAAATAATTTCTAGTTATTCTACTTTTCCCCTGTAATTACTAGTGACTGTATAAGTTGCTGATGCTATACATGTTTAGTTTTAATTACTAGGAAGGCTTCATTTTTCTGAATTGTGGTGGTGAAGTCACTGAGCTAAACCTGTCTGCAGAATAATTCAGAACTTTTATTCAATTGAAAAATTGAAAACAATTCATAAATAAAAAATTAAGGTCAGTACTCAAAATATATTTGAATAAGCTTAGAATTTATTATAATATATTAAGTACTAGTTTATAAAATTTAATTTTGGGCTTTTTTCTCCTTAATCATTTATAGCCTTGCTATCCTTTATCTCTAGGGCTAGACTTTCTTATCTCGATTTTCTCTACTCTTTGATAACAAATTTCACTTTAACTGTGAATATCCTAATCTGTTTCATTAACTTGTTTCATCTGTTTCCTAGACTATTAAATACTGCTTGCAACATAGTAAATAATTTCTTTTGAAGCACAAATTCATTGATAATAGGGATCTTTTAGAGACTGCTCCTAATTTACATGAACTCCATACCCATGTGTATATACATATACCTGTAGCTACTCATAATATGAAGGTGTTTCAGACCTTTCAGATGGTACTAATTTTAAAATGGCCCACATGTACCCACATGGTAATGTCTGGGGTTTTTCCTGTGATCCTGTTTTTTAAATGCTCTAAACCAGCAGCAGAAGCACTGGAACAAAACCTACCTGCCCCAAATTAAGTCAGCAGCATGGGGTCTAGAGAACCCTCCAAAAGTAAGCTAATGGTTAAAAACACACTGCTCCCGGAAGATTCTTTTAGGAAGCTTTCACCCCAGAAACAGAGGCGAAGCTGAGCAGGGCTGCCTGGGCAGAACCGGCTGCAGAGATCCGGGTGGTATCCGAAGGCATTTTCTTAGCGCTTCTGGGGAAGTGCTTCATGGAGCAGGAGGATGCTTTCCAACAAAGAAGTCAGTATTAAAATCGGTTGCAAACGTGCGTTGTCCCGCTGAAGCAGCAGCGCAAGGCTCACCGCGCTCTGCCGAGGCAGGCATCGGGTGGGCACGCTGGGGGCCCGCGGCTCCGGCCCTCGCGTCCCCCCGCCCGCAGCCCGCACTCACCTGCGCTCCTGCTCTGCGGTCTCACTGCCTCTTGAGGGCGAGTCGGTGACTTCGCCATAAGATACAGTGGCCATCTTTGACCTCCCTCCCTCTCAAAAAGAGTCTTCTGGAACTTAGAAGCCTGATTTTCCTCTGCAGATATGGGAGATTTCACGGATGCAGACGAGAGACGAGTGATCTCGGAAGGCCGCGCGGCCGTCCTCAGCCTGCCGCCCATCAGCAGCTGCCCCCGGCCCCAGGTGACGTGGTTCCGAGAGGGGCACAAGATTATCCCCAGCAGCAGGATGTAAGTTGTCCCGAACTCTGCAGTTCCAAACACTCGCGGCACCGGTCGGTACCATTGTACGTATTGGGTGTACCAGTTAAGCTTCAGAAAGAGTAACCTGGCCAGTGGATCTACCTCAGCCTCAATCAAGAGCTATTTTAAGACTGGCTTGGAAATTTTTAAGCAGTTTAAGAAAAGCATCATGTAATGTTATTCTTCAGTATACCACATGCCCTAACTAAAGCACCCCCACTCACTCTTTATGTTTTTTTTTTCCCCTTTTCTGAACGCACTTTTTTGAGATGTCGTTGTCATCCCGAGTTGTGCTGAGCTCCAAGTACTAATTTAAAGAGTTCTGGTATTTACTTACAGAGCTGTAGGTTTCCCCTCTTTTTACTGAGCCACGTTTGATACTACTTTCTCTGACGATAAAACAGTAATTACTGCTTATTTCTCTTTATCCTTTTATCCTACCATGACAGTTTTATTTCCCTCCATCTAATTAGTGGTTCACCCATCTATTGCAGAGCAGTTGCTTTGTGATTAGATAAGCATTATTTCAAGGTGTTCTTGCCTATCTCCCATTTAAGATATTTATCTAATGCCAGATAGTTTCTGCATTTGGAAGCTTTAAGTGATTAAAAAGAACATTTGAGATATATTTCATAAATGGGCATTTTGCAATGTAATTTAAAGATAATATACTGAATATAAAGGTTTTGAGGATGGACATTTCTGAAAGAATCATGAAATGCTGTAATCTTGGGCTAAATGTCAAATATTTATGCCGTCAGATGGTTGCACTCAGAAAAAAAAAAAAAAAACCTGTGAGGAGAAAATGCTTTTATTTTTTTTCCAGAAAGGATCTGTGTAAGAGAATTTGCTGAATGGTTTTTCAAATATGCTTTCTCCCCACTTGACCATCCACTCTGTCCCGTCTTTAAGACCAGAATCCCCACTCTTCTGCCTGGGCTTCAGAACTCTGTTTGTGCCTACACAATCCTTAAGCTTATTTAGCAAATGTTTCTATCTTGGTTATTGAAAACAGGAAAAGTACTGAAATATGTAAAAACCATATTTTAAAATTCTCGTAAAAATATAAATTACCTTGGGAAATGGGATAACTTCTGTCCTTTTTCTGTATTTTATTGAAACTTGCTTAGGTATCCACCTTTATATTGATTCCAATTATAAACAATGCCTCTGGAATCAGGATGAAACAGAGACAAGGGATCAGTTTCTCATCCTCTTAGAGGTGGTGGGGCTGAGAGGAAGGCAGTTGAGAGAGATTGCCGTGCAGTGTTCCGGAGGGTCCCGGTGCTGAGCGCAGTGTTCCGGAGGGTCCCGGTGCTGAGCGCAGTGTGGCTGGGCACAGGTGGAAAGACTCAGTCCTCGGAAGGGCGGCTACGTTAACTTAGGCTTCCTCTCAAACACTGGAGCTTGTAATTAGTGTCAGTGGTGGAGGATTATTTTCATTCAGTAGCATATAACTACATAGTAATTCATTTGTTAATCCATTGTCTAGCTATGTTCCTGAGACAACGTTTATTCAAGTACAAAAGGATGCAGAATGAAATAACAGCTCTTAATTTTTTAAGCTTCTTTTTTTTTTAACTTGTGGTCTCTTGAAGACTGCTTAATCCCTGGTGAGCCGATAACACAAAGATGCTCACAGGGCTTTAACTTAGTGTCATGGCAAACAGGCAGCCTGCTTACACCGTGAAGCCATTGATAAATCTCCAGTCTCAGTAGAGTAATATGCCTGATGGCTTTTTCTTTTTAAGAGAGGAGATGAGGCTGATTATGGATATTTACACTTTCTCAAGGCCTTTTAGTTTCGTATTTTCCACCCCATCATCACCCCCATATTTATTAAGTACCTGCTGTGCAAGATATCATAAATCAGTACTTGCGTGTTTATCTCCACAAGTTTATGCATCATTCACAGATGTATTACTTTACACTTCTAATAAAGTCCAGCTCAGACCTCAGATGGAAGAGCGCTTATGTATTGCCTCTGCCCAGATGGTTGGCAGACAAAACTCAGATGGCATTAGATGGGTTCTGGACCGTGAGAAGCATCATTTAAAAATGAAACGTTTGGCTCAAGGCGTTTCACACCTAATGAAACAACTCAAACCTCTCCATCGGCTTTTACCCTGATTCCCTGGGGTCAGCACCCTAACACACAGGAGAGATGGACCTTCGTCGAGGGAAGGAGGAACCTCACCTTGCCACCCCTTCCCCACCACGTTTTAACATTATCTCATAACCTTAGAAATGTGAGCTTTAGGCTTAAAATTAAATGACCTTTTTTTCCCCCCCATTTTCAAGAGAAACAGTGAGTCTAATGTTTCTCAACTTGAAAAATTAGTTGAAGAGTCTATTAATAATATTAACAGCAGCTGTTATTGAGTACATTTTAAACACATCTTCTCTAATCCTCAGAGTTGCCTTCTGAGGCAGGTATAATTAGCTATCAGAACTGAAGACTGGAGTTGTTAAATGACCCACCCAAGGGCACATAGCTGACAAATGGCAGAGCTGGGACTCCAACCCAGGTCTGCTGACTCTACATCTCAGGCTCTCTTCTGCATCAGGCCAATTCTTCTTTTCACTTTATTTTGCCGAACCTTCTTTGTGCTTTTGATTTATTTTTTCCTTATACTGCTTTCATCTTTTTCCTCCTGTTTTAGAATAGCAGCTTTCAATTTGAAATACTGTAGGTTATCCTGGGTTTGCCATGAGCCACAGGTCGCACGATCACATACCCACGTCAACAGTGAACATGCCTGCATGTGTGTTGTTTATCCTCTCTGTATTGGGTCTGTTGGTCCCTATCTTCAGAAATTCTTGACAAAGAGAAGGCAAACATGGCCTTCTAATTAAGGTGTAGACATTTGTTTTGGATTGTTTTGTTAAGAGTGACATGATGGTAGATGGCCAAGGGAATCCGGTCATTAGACAGTTGTGTACACCACATTCAAGGTTAGCAAAGAAAGCTTGGCTAACCTTGGGGGTGGTTGCTGTAGTGTTACTTATAGGCTTTGCAGTGTACGTGGACCGTACATGCCAGTGGACAAAGCCCAGAGAGTTCCATCATATTAGTTAAGATGCTGTTGGCTGCAAGTCACAGAGGATGCCTCTGGCTAAGCACAAAGGAAACATGTTGGAGTGTTTAGAGAACTGCAGAGCCTGGCCAACTGAAGGAGAAGCCGGGGTGGCAGCCGGGGCTCCTCCTGAGGCCCAAGGAGCAGGGAGCGGGGCCTCCCAAGGGGGTCCAGGTCCCAGCTCCTGAAATGTTGAGTGTGGGAGGTTCCATGGCAAAGGGCTGAAGGCAGAGGACTCCACAGGGCACTGATAAGGTGGGAAGGCAGGAGTCTCACCTGGAGGCTTGGGTCTGGAGCAGTTAAGCTGAGGGTCTGTGCCGACGACGGGCATGTGCCAGACGTGGCCACTCTTTCTTTCAACATCTCACCTGGAGACATTAGCAGCAAGAGTCACGACCCTGTGCTGTGTTTGTGGATTCTGTCTCCTGAGGTGGTTTTCACCGCCCCTGGGTCCTGACCATCTAAGATGGCTTTGTGTTTTCCGCCCTGCTTGGCCTGGTGCCGTGCAGAGCAGAGATGCAATACTGGAAAGACAGAATGAAAGAGGAGTGTGAAGGCAATTCCTGTCATAGTGTAAACACCCTCACCAAGACGTGGGGGCGGGGGGAAGAGACATAACAGACCTCAGGAGAAAGTGGTGCTAATGGAGGAGAAATGTATCTTGGAAAAGCAAACAATATTTTGAAAGAATTGAGAACAAGATATACTTAGAATTGTGAATTGGTAATTATAGGTTTTATTTATCTGAAAAGATGAAAAAAGTGCTTATTTATTTTACTGATTTACTGAATCCAAACAGTTAGTTTGCAATTTTTGCACGTCAGAGATGAGTATAGCCTTATCTTATAAGTATAGTCTAATTCGATAATAAAAATGTTCTGCGTTATTTCAGCTTAGATGTATGTTCTTTGTTTCCTTTTATTTCTCAAAATATGAAATGTGAATGCTGATGTCATTCAGTAGTTCTCTTACCTCCGGGAGGTAATTTATGTTGGCAGTTATCAGATTAGGACGCAGAAACTTCTTCTGTGCAGTGCCATTCTTTTGCTTAATTGCAGGTTCTTATGCTCAAACTGCACCCTTAGCCTACCTGACAGGAATGTCTAAGCACAAGTGTACAGGCATGTGTTTTCCTAGGAATGTGAGGTTTATAGACTAAATATTTCAAACCTGGAGTCAGTTTTGTGAGACGACTTGCTCGGAATGAGCTGAATTGTGAAGTATGGGCAGGAAACAGCATCCCAGGTGACTTAAAAACAGTCTGACTCATGATTGTCCATGCTTAAATACTCGAACATCCATTAACCTATTACCATTTCATTTCAAGTGCTGCAAGAAAGATGTGTTTAAATTAGCACTTGTATTGGAAGTCACAACTTAATGCTTGAATGAAGTAGATCTGGTTGTAATAATATTTTTATAGTTAACAGGGCTTTCAAAATAATATGCTTTTAAAATTTTCATATTGTGTTTTATAGGCATTTTGTGAATGTTTATAGAGTATGTCTATACGTGTGAATTGAGCCACATTTGTATAAGTAAGAAAGACTAGGAGAGGCAAGCTCCAGACCTGCTTCCACCATTAATTCTGACCTTGGAAAGATGACTTACTCTCCTTTGCCTCCATTTTCTCATGTCAAAAATGAGGATGGCATTGTCCGTGACCTCTGAGTCCTTTCTGGCGTCCGCACCGGCAGTGCTCAGGGCCAGACCCGCCTCTCCCCTGCCCTTGCTTCGCTCCTGCACTTAGTAGGTACTTGCTGAGCACTTGTTCTGTGCCAGGCACTGTTCCAGCTGCTCAGGACAGATGGGGCCTGAGGACAGTGGCGCTTCTGCCTCAGGGAGTCTTGGTCCAGTGTGGAGACACAGGAGCAACCAGAGGGCGATGGCAGCGATGAGGGGCATGGAAAG